TTTCTCCTTTTTCTTTACTGAAAAATTTGTTGGTATTTGATCCCATTTTGGTCTAAATTAAATCAATTTACAATTAAGCCTTTAATATGGATATGTTTACAATTTGACAAATATCTAAGTTTTGAATTGTTTAATGCAAATAATTGTTTTATTATAAATTTTAACAAATTAACAGAACTGTCAGGAACAGAATTTATATTTTTACAGAAACCTTCAAAATTAATCCTTTTTTCTTTCTATTTTTTACCTTTACCTTCGAAAATGATTTTGTTTATTGTTACAAATTATTTACCTAAAATAAGTTGCTAATACATATATATTTACTTATAGATTCAGCATTTTTGTCTTGAAAATCCTGATTTAATCTATTTGAATTGTCATGATATAAAAGATTGTTTGGTTTAAATACTAGTAATTAATTTATTTTAGTGAGTGAATATTTTATTATTGTTTAGTTTTGTTATAAGGAGATGATTGTAGGAAGTTTTGTAAATATTTCATTGATGTTGAGAATATCAATCATCACGTGCACTCAGCCTGAGTGCACTTTGACAAAAGGAACAGAGGATCTTCAGAAGAAAGAAGACCAAATGATTACGGTAACTTGCGCTACAATTGTAAGTGTATCACAGAGAATAATAGTGAGATAGAAATAGAGAAGATATTTCAGCTTGTCAACTGAAATTCTTAAGTAATTGAATAGTATTTTTGATATGCCCATAACATCTATAGCATTGAATAATTTATTGTACATACATTAACTTGTTCTGAATATATATGCATGCTGTTTATTCATGATTGAATTTATCGCTAACAAATCACAGACACCTACTGTAGAAGAATCCTAAGCCCAACCACAACATAGTATATATTTATACTCTTAAAAAATATAACTAAAAGCCTTTCTATTTGAGAATTGGAAAAAAGGAAAGTTATATATATATATATTTTGTTTTAAATTCTGACAAGGATAAACTTAATTGTTATAGATTTTCAGTAAAACGATTTT